TGGAGCTTAGTGGACTTGTAGTCGAGTGTGACTCTGAGTAGAAGTTCGACTTCGTCGTCAGTCCACACGAAAGACTCCACTCTTGCTCTTGAAGTTGTTGCGTTCGCCATCTTCGTCTTCTTCTTGGTTCGTATACAGCGCACAAGGTTATGTGCATGCTCAAAGTCTTCTTCTTCGTGTACTGTATAGTGTATCTCTATGGCAGAATTACAGCGCCCCATACTGGTCTGGCATATATACTACACCGTTTTCAGTGGTTTCGTTTGTACGCAGATATTTCTTGAGACGACGCCGTGTTTACGCAATTTTTTTTTAAAACGAGGAAAAAAAATGATCGGATAGGGAACGCACTGGCTTCGTGTGGTCGGAGCCACAGTCTCTATGCAGTGAAGATGAGGAGATGTTCACCACTCTGTGAAAGTCTGCATAGTAGTGCAACAATTTAAGAATAATGTTCCTCAATATAATATTGTAGAAAATTTTGGAATTCCATCATCTACGGTATATAATATAATTAAAAGATTCAGAGAATCTGGAGAAATCTCTGTATGCAAAGGACAAGGCTGAAATCCAATATTGAATAGCCGTCATCTTTGGGTCCTTGGACAGCACTGTACTAAAAACAGACATGATTCTATATCAGAAATCACCGCTTGGGCTCAGGAACATTTCCGAAAACCATTGTCTGTTAACACAGTTCGTTGCTGCAGGATGAAACTCTACCATGCAAAGTAGAAACCATATCGAAAGATGATCCAGAAACACCATTGAATTCTCTGGGCCTGAGCTCATTTAAGATGGACTGAGGTAAAATGGAAAACTGTCCTGTGGTGTGATGAATCAAAATTTCAAATTCTTTTTGGAAATTACTGTATGGACACTGCAACCTCCAGGCTAAAGAGGAGAGGGACCATCCAGCTTGTTATCAGCGGACAAAAGCCAGCATCTGTGATGGTATGGAGGTGCATTAGTGCCCATGGCTTGGGTAGCTGGCACATCTGGGAAGGCACTATTAATGCAGAATGATGTATATATATGTATATGTATGTGTAACCCCCCTTTCAGCCACCAAAGGGTATACACGCGACTACAAGAAGCTAACAAAGTTAACAAGATCCTGGGTTCCAAGTTCAATAGAAGTGGCTGTGATTCCCTGTTTACCCACTAGGTGTTGTACGACGAGATTTGTTCCCTTAAGCCAAAATTTAAAATATAAATAACAGAAATAGCAGCGCGGTGCCTCCATTGTGGAAATATTAAACTGAAATGAAGCTATTCAGCACGTAACATATTCCCCCAGAATATAAAAAAACTACCACATCCTCAATAAAACACATTAAACAATACTTAAACATAACCGGGCCATTTATTGAGCCCTATTCAGCAAGGAAAAACAACAGCTCCAGTATGAACACTAAAGTAAAGAGAAAAAAACAAAGAGCAGTGTACCCTTAAATTGTAAATCTACATTTACGTTTCGCTGCAACGCAATTAAAGTATAAGCAAAAAAAAAAAAACCTGTTGCACAGCGTGATGCGTTGGGGCCCAGTCGTTGGTGCACTTTTTCAAAAGAAATAAAAACTCAATGCCGAGCAGTATGCGCAGGCGAGTTCCACCGAGCGGGGCTTCCTTCGGCGCGGTGCAAGTCCACACGGCGTCGTGTTGCAGACACCCTTGCAGCCGTATACCTCCTGGTCTTCGGCACCCCAGTCACTCTCCGCTGCAGTCAAGTCTACCGTCCGGCAGCAGGACAAAACAGCAAAAAAAAAACTCTGGGCGACACTTTTTTTCCCGATGGGGGAAATAAAAAAAACAAATCCTGCTCCGACTCCTCTCACCATGTTCTCCTGCTCTCTCTTAGCCACGCAATCCTTAGATACTCCTTTTTTTATTGGTCCATGTACATCTCATTAGCAACCCATCTACATGGATGAAAATGATTGGCCACTATTATATATCAGAAATGCGGCAACTCTTGCCCTGGCATTCTGGGAAATGTAGTCAGTACATAATACAGTAACAAAATATGCAATTCCCTGTCTTTTCACAGGTCCTTACATATGTATATATATATATGTATATATATTCACCTAGGAACACCTGTTCAATTTCTCATTAATGCAATTATCTAATCAACCAATCACATGGCAGTTGCTTCAATGCATTTAGGGGTGTGGTCCTG